ACTACCCCAACGCTTCCACTCATTCTCCCCCACAATGTGGAGACCTTCCACTGTCCTCCTTTCCCCCTCAGCCCCGACAGTAATGATACCCATCCACCCTGCTGGTGGTGATGGTCACTGCCAATACCGCCACCCCCCATCCCCATCAGCCTACCATGTCCTTTGATGCCAATCAGCATAACCTGTCCCTTATTATTTATGTTTCCCTCCGTTTGCCAGCCTTGACCCCACCTCAACATATGCCTGTGCTTCACGACCCCCTCACCCAGCACCCTGGACCATCCCACTTCCTGTTGGTGTTGAACCCCACAGCAACCATACCCCCCCCAACACCCTTCTCAATGGTCAATGCACAAAGCTACCCCACTTGCCCCAGGACTGTATATGCTCCAGACCTCTGACAGGCTTTGATGAACAGCCCCGAGACATGAGTGACCCAGACCACAGCCTTTGTGATTCCTCTGAGTGCTGGCGATGGCCCTACAGGACCGTCTGCTGCCCACCAGCTGGATGATGGCTGGACATATCCCCAACAATGATTGGACCAACCAGACACCTGATTCTAGCCAAACACTGGGACTGTGTGTGAACTGTCCCCGTGACTGACGGTATCGGGACCCCCTGACTAACCATGGCTCCCCCCAGGTTTCCGACTGGGTCATTTGGTTGAATAAACGTGCAGTGTGTTTGCACTGACTCATGCAGTAGGTGTTAGAATGATGCTTTGGTTTGCTATACAGAAAGACAAATCTGTCTTGTGTATCTGCGCAGAAAAACACATCAATATGGTAGAATTGATGGCCTTGGGGCTTTGGCTGAAGCACCAACGCACTAACAGCTTGGTACACCACAGCAAGGCAAGGCGGGTAGGTCAGCACTAAGTACATGAGAGCCAAGAGAGCAAGAAAGCAGTCCTGAGATGTTGCATTGTTGGGTCTATGAGCTGGGGGCATGTTTATCTGTGCAAACCCCTTGCAGCAGCACTTTAATGATACTTGCTGGTGGGTCCTGCAACATGACTCTGGGCTTCCTAAGCATCTTGCCAGGATCAGAGATGTAAGATGAGGATCCTGAGGTGCTGGCAACTATCAGATGTCATCTCTATGGATGAGTAGTGCATGCAGCTGGTGCTCATAGATCAGCCCCGAGGTATGGGCAACAGGAAAATGGCAGAAAGCTACCACATAGGTGCAGCAGGTAGCCAGGAAGGCTCTTAATGGCCCTTATTTCAAGGGGTTGGAGTATAAGAGTATGGAAGTCTTTTGCAACTGTACAAGGTGCTGGTGAGACCGCAGCTGGAGTACTGTGAGCAGTTTTTGTCCCTTTATTTAAGGAAATATATCATTTCATTGGAGGCTGTTCAGTGCATGGAGGGATTGTCTAATGAGCAAAGGTTAAATAGGTGGGGACGCTACTCACTGGAGCTTGAATAATGAGAGGAAACCTCAATGAAACATAAGATTCTTAAGGGGCTTGAAATGGTTTCCCCTCATGAGAGAGTCTAGGACTGGAAGGCATTGTCTCAGAATAAAGGGACACCTGTTTAAAAGGGTTGAGATTTTTTGGAACACCTTGCCACAGAGAGCTGTCGGGGCAGAGTCCCTGTATATATTTAAAGCGGAGATAGTTAGATTCAGTCCTATTTCTTGTGGTCTTAAGCTGTTTTGTGCTGACCAGCATAGAGGGTAATCACAGATAGTGGTGAGCTGAAGTCAGTAGATACCTGCACTGATCACCATGTCGAGGATTATTGGTGTCCAGTTTTCTCATGATGGGTGGTAGGTTGGAAAGCTGCATATTAATGAAATGTGATGTGCATCAATGTGGCCATTAACAAGCAATAGGGCCCTTAATTAGCCTGACAAATCTGTTAGAATTCATTAGGAAGTAATGAGCAAGTTAGACAAAGCATAGTCAATGGTGGATCTATTTGGATTTCCAGAAGGTCTTTGAAAAAGGTACTATGTAGGAGACAGTTAAACAAGGTAAGAGCCCATGGCAAAGTACTGGTGAGGACTGAGAATTGGCTGACTGGCAGAAGGCAGAGAGTGAGGATAAAGGATCTTTTCCAGAATGGCAGCCAGTGACTAGTTACAGGACCATACTGGATAGGTTACACAACCACACATTAACAATCTGAACGAAAGAACTGAGGGCATTATTGCTAAGCTTGCAGATGACACAGAGATAGTAGAGGGACAGCACAGTGTGGAGCTGGAGGAACACAGCATCCCTGGCAGCATCAGAGGAGCTGGAAAGCTGACACTTCGGGTCGGGACCCTTCTTCAGGTTTTCTGCTTTCCAGCTCCTCTGATGCTGCCTGGTCTGCTGTGCTCCTCCAGCTCCACACTATTATCTCTGACTCCAGCATCGGAAGTTCTTACTATCTCTAGGTAGAGGGACAGGTTGTGTTGAGGAGGCAAGGAGGCTGCAGAAGGACTTGGACAGGCTGGGAGAATGGCCAAAGCAGGAGAATGGGGTTGAGAAACATGTCAGCTATGATTGAATGATAGAGCAGACTTGATGGGCCGAATGCTCCTGTATCTTATGATCTTTCCCCTAGCCAAGTTGTTCCAATACAGCTATACACAGGTTTCTACCTAGCAATGTGAAAAAACGTCCATGTATATCCTGTCCCAAAAAAAAGGAGAATAAATCCAAGTTGGCTAATTATAGCCCTACCATTTTATTTTTGATCATCAGCAAAATGATGGAAGAAACTGTCAACAGTACTATCAAATGACACATACTTAGCAATAGCTCACTCATTGCTCAGTTTATATTCTATCAGGTCCACCCAGCTCCTGATCTCGTTACAGCATTGGTTCAAACATGGTCAAAAAAGCTGAATTCCAGAGGTGAACTGAGTGACCATCATAACATCTAGACAGATTTGACTGAGTGCTGCATCATGGAGGCCTAGTAAACTGAAAATCAGTGGTAATCAAAGGGAAAACTCTCCCTTGATTGGAGTCTTACCTAGCATAAAGGAAGCTGATTATGGTTGTTAGAGGTCAATCATCACAGTTCCAGGATATTGGTACATCAGTACCTCAGGGTAGTGACCTTGGGCCATTCATCTTCATCTTTTTCTTCAATGCCTTTCACTTCATTATAAAGTCAACAGTGGTGATGTTCACTAATGATTACACAATGTTCAGTGCCTTTCATAAATCCTCAGAGACTGAAGCAGCTCATGTTCATTAACAATAAGATCTAGACAACATCCGCTTTGGAGCTAATAAGTGACGTAACGTTTGCACCACACAAATGCTAGAAAGTGACCATTTCTAATGAGAGAAAATTGAATCATCACCTCTTGACATTCTGAGATATCATCATCACTGAATCCCCCACTATCAAGAAGGCCCCACATTTTCTTTAAGCTACATAGCTGCTGGGAAGCTCTGAGCAGGTCATTCAACATGTTGACGTATGGCTCTGCTGCCAGGCACAGACCTCTCAGCAGCCAGAGAAATTGCAGGGAACCTTGCCTGGGGTTACCATTAACCAGAAACTAAACTTGACCATCCATATAAATACTACAAGATGATGAAATTTGCCTTTCAGAGGGACTGTTTTGACGTGCTTCTCTTGAAGAGCATTATTGTCAATCCGGTGCTGAGGTGTCTGCTCCTTGGAAAGCAGAGTAAATAGCTTTGTTTTTAAAGCAGACAAAGGAAGCAATGAGTGGAGTCAGGCTCATACAGACTGAGGATTTCAGTTGTTGAAGTTGGAGCTGACTGTTGAAACTGCTAGATACAGCTGTCTCCCTGCTGCAGCTGAAAGTTTGAGGTCTCTCTCTGCTGCTAATGTGAGAAGACAGCACATGAGATTGAAACTGTTTTGCTAAATTACATTTGCCAAGGGTGTGTTAATGGGATGCTGCTGTATTGGAACTGTTGATAAGTAGTAGTTAAATGACATATTATTTTATTAAGTATTTTGATAGATTTAAGGTTGTGCCAATTCTTTTTATTGTTTGTATTTAAACTGTGATGTAAGAATAAAGTGTATTTTGCTTCAAGCTTAGTGACTTCACCTGATGAAGGAGCAGCGCTTCAAACGTTTGTGATTTCAAATAAACTTGTTGGTGTCATGTGGCTTCTGAGTTTATCCACCCCAGTCCAACATCAGCATCTCCACAGCAAGCCTAGTAGTTTGACCAATCTAATCACATATGGAGCACAGTGCCTTAAACTTGCCTCTAAATAAGATAAAAGATAGGGTCGAGGCTTTCTCCTAGATATATTCTGAGGGGATTTGATCTGGTCCATTGTAGAGGTGACACACCTCCTGACTCCCCAAAGCCTGTCCACCATCTACAAGGCACAAGTCAGGAGTGTGATGGAATACTCCCCACTTGCCTGGATGGGTGCAGCTCCAACAACACTCAAGAAGCTCGACACCATCCAGGACAAAGCAGCCCCTTGATTGCTACCCTTTCACCACCTTCCACATTTAGTGCCTTCATCACCAATGCATCGTGACAGCAATGTGGGCCACCTATCAGCTGTGCAGCAGATAGAACTTTCCAAACCGGTGATCGCCACCAAATAGCTGAACAAGGGCAGCAGATACTTGCAAGTTCCCCTCCAAGCCACCCACCCACCCTGACTTGGAACTAATTACTAATTATGGCTGTTTCTGCATTGTGGTTGGGTCAAAATCCTGGGACAAACCCCACCCCGCTTAACATTGTGGTGTCCCTACTACTCGAACAACTGCGGCAATTCATGAATGAAGTTCATCACCACCTTCCCACAGACACATAGGGATAGGCAGAAAATGTTGGCCCAGCCAGTGATACCTGCATCCAATGAATGATTAAAAAACTGTGAAGTTTTGTAGAATTTATTTTTGTTATATTTTGACACAGTGTAAAAACAAACCTAACTGCCCAGTCTCAGATGCCCAGATGCAGTGGGTAATACCCTGTCAGATTAGAGACTGATAATAGTGTGATCAAATTTAAATGTGTTCCTCTTCTTTCTTCTTAGCGAAGATGATGCTGTAACAATGTACAAGACAGCAACCCTCCTGAATATGACTGGGTCTGGCTATGTTTGGCTTGTTGGGGAAAGAGAGATATCTGGCAGGGCCATGCAGCATGTTCCAGAAGGTATGGCAGTAATATGACCTCAATAACATTTCAAACTATATTGGAGAACAGTTCTGAACGCTGTGCCCTTTAATGTTCCTTCAACAAGTCAATATAACATCCAAATATTCCAGCTGGATCACACACCCATAAAACAGTGACTCTTCACACTGATATACCCCTCAGGTAACACTGTGGTATAACCCACACCCCTCACTGTAACACTCTGGTATACCCCACACCCCTCACTGTAACACGCTGGTATACCCCACACCCCTCACTGTAACACTCTGGTATACCCCACATCCCTCACTGTAACACTCTGATATACCCCACACCCCTCACTGTAACACTCTGGTATACCCCACACCCCTCACTGTAACACTCTGGTATAACCCACACCCCTCACTGTAACACTCTGACATACCCCACACCCCTCACTGGAACACCCTGATATACCCCACACCCCTCACTATAACACTCTGATATACCCCACATCCCTCACTATAACACTCTGATATACCCCACACCCATAAGACCATAAGACCTTGGAGCAGAAATCAGGCCATTCAGCCCATCGAGTCTGCTCCGCCATTCAATCATGGCTGTTAAGTTCCTCACCCCTATTCTCCCTGTTTCTCCCTGTAACCCTTGATCCCCTTAATAATCAAGAACCCATCTACCTCAGTCTTAAATGTACTCAATGACCTGGCCTCCACAGCCTTCTGTGGCAGTCAATTCCATAGATTCACCACTCTCTGGCTGAAGTAATTTCTCCTTATCTCCGTTCTAATAGGTTTTCCCTTTACTCTAAGGCTGTGCCCTCGGGTCCTAGACTTTCCTACCAATGAAAGCATCTTCCCAACATCTACTTTGTCCAGGCCATTCAGTATTCTGAAAGTTTCAATTAGATCCCCCCATATCCTTCAAAACTCCAATGAGTATAGTCACAGAGTCCTCAAACGTTCCTCATATGTTAAGCTTTCCATTCTTGGGACCATTCTCGTGAACCTCCTCTGAACCTGCTCCAGGGTCAGTATATCCTTCCTGAGATATGGGGCCCAAAACTACACACAATACTCCAAATGTGGCTTGACCAGAACCTTATAAAGCCTCAGTAGTACATCCCTGCTTTTTAATTCAAGTCCTCTCAGAATAAATGCCAACATTGCATTTGCCTTCCTGACGACTGACTCAGCCTGCAAGTTTATCTTGAGAGAATCCTGGACTAGAACTCCCAATTCTCTTTGCACTTCAGATTTCTGAATTTTCTCCCCATTTAGAAAATAGTCCATGCTTTTATTCTTCTTACCAAAGTGCATGACCTCACACTTTCCCACACTGTACTGCATCTGCCGCTTCTTTGCCCACTCTCCTAACCTGTCCAAATCCTTCTGCAGCCTCCCCACCTCCTCAATACTACCTGTCCCTCCACCTATCTTTGTATTGTCTGCAAACTTAGCCAGAATGCCCACAGTTCCTTCATCTAGATCATTAATGTACAAAGTGAAAAGTTGTGGTCCCAACACTGACCCTTGCGGAACACCACTTGTCCCCGGCTGCCATCCTGAGAAAGACCCCTTTATCCCCACTCTCTGCTTTCTGCCAGACAGTCAATCTTCTATCCATGCTAGCACCTTGCTTCTAACACCATGGGCCCTTACCTTACTCAGCAGCCTCCTGTGTGGCACCTTGTCAAAGGCCTCTTGAAGTCCCAGAGATAACATCTGTTGGCTGTCCTTGGTCTACCCTGCTCATTACTTCCTCAAATAATTCCAGCAGATTTGTCAGGCATGACCTTCCTTTGATGAAACCATGCTGACTGTGCCCTACTTTACCATTCACTTCCAAATATTCAGAAATCTCATCCTTTACAATGGATTCCAAAATCTTACACACGACCGAGGTTAGGCTAATCAGCCTGTAATTTTCCGTCTTTTACCTTACTCCCTTTTTAAACAGGGGTGTCATGTTAGCGATTTTCCAGCCCTCTGGGACCCTCCCTGACTAGCGATTCCTGAAAGATCACCACTAATGCTTCCACTATCTCCTTTAGAACTTACCCCTTACTGTAACAGTCTGGTATACCCCATACCCCTCACTGTAACACTCTGGTATACTCCACACCCCTCACTGTAACACTCTGATATACCCCACATCTCTCACTGTAACACTGATATACCCCACACCCCTCACTGTAACTTTCTGGTATACCCCACACCCCTCACTGTAACACTCTGGTATACCTCACACCCCTCACTGTAACACTCTGATATACCCCAGACCCCTCAATGTAACACTTTGGTATACCTCACACCCCTCACTGTAACACTCTGATATACCCCACACCCCTCACTGGAACACTCTGGTATACCCACACCCCTTACTATAACACTGTGATATACCCCACACCCCTCACTCTAACAGTCTGGTATACCCCACACCCCTGACTCTAACAGTCTGGTATACTCCACACCCCTCACTGTAACACTCTGATATACCCCACACCCCTCACTGTAACACTCTGGTATACCCCACACCCCTCACTGTAACACTGATATACCCCACACCCCTCACTGAAACACTTTGATATACCCCACACCCCTCACTGTAACACTCTGATATACCCCACACCCCTCACTATAACAGTCCGGTATATCCACACCCCATAGTTCTACTCTCCTCAGCAATACACTCCTCACTGTAACTCTTCGATATTCCCCTCACTCCTCACCCTAAAACTGTTATACGCCACACCACTAAGTGTAACACACTGATACACTCCTCACTGTAACGCTCTGATATATCCCACTCCCCACACTAACATTGATATATTCCTCACTGTAACTCTGTGATATACCTCTCACTGTAACAGTCTGGTCAGCCCTCACACTAACTCTGAGTTCTATCTCTTGCTGTAACCTGTGTGTTCACATATTATGGTTTGGTTTCTGATGCAGGTGTAATTGGTTTGCAACTGATCGATGGTAAAAATGAAACAGCCCACATTAATGATGCTGTGGGTATTGTGTCACAATCCATTCACGAGCTCTTTGAGAAGGAAAACATCACTGACCCCCCGAAAGGTTGTGTGGGGCACACTAACATCTGGAAAACTGGGCCACTCTTTAAAAGGTAGGAAGTTCAGTCCAGTCATTGTGTTCAGTAAATATCAATCTTCAAGCAACCACCTCCTGGCTCTACATAGAAAGCTAACCTGTCTCTTTAAAAGATCCTGTATATCCTAATTTAAATCAGTTACTTGGTGAGTTTAAGATGTATTGGGAAGAGCAAAAATCCATTTAAACAATTGTCACCCCAGTGGTTTAGTTCCTGCAGGGAGATTGGAGAAGGTGTTCAAGAGGACAGGAGAAACCTTAGAGTGATTTCCTGGACTGGTTCTGATGTCCTGTGTGTGTTGGAAAGGAACCTCCGAGATATTTTTCTGAAATTGACCTGTGCTGTGATGTGTTTTCTCTGGCTTCCAGGTGACCATACCTTTTTTCACTGTACTGTTGAGTCCAAGGGTTGGTTTGTAAGTTTCTAACTCGTTGGGAATGAGGGTAGGGTTAGGTTTCTGGCAGGAACACAGAAGGCAGAATAGGTGAGCAGGTCTATTCCCTGCATAGTTATTCAGCGATGAAGTGATTGGAGGTTAAATGCAGCTGCGTTTTGCAAATGGCTGCTTCCTGTATTGGTTACTACAATGTTGTAGAGTCCAGGCAACTGTGGATCCTGCACTTTCACCCATCAAACAGGCACTTTCACAGGCCACACCGGGTGTTCTTCCATCCAGTTACGAGGATCACTTTGCATCTAGAGATGGGAAAGTGATGACTGGGAACACAGCTCACGGTGGGCACTGTCAGCACTAGACCCTGTCTTTTCACCAGGTGCCATCCCTTTTACCTTGCAGTATTCTGACAACCCATTTGCTCCCATTTGCCCCTGTGTGGAGAGCCACCACGTTGAACTTTCCCTCAAACTGACCTTCCTACTCCAAGCCCCAACATTACATCATGATGATGCCCCCCGACCCTGTCCTTTACACTCCCTTTGTGATAAGGTACATGTATAAATGAAAGTTAATTTGTTCTTTTTGTCTTCTTTATTTCTCTTCCATAATCTCTCCTTTTTTAGATGTTGTTAGACCAACAATATTTCCTGTTTTATTTTCAGATTTTATCCTCTTCTGGTTTGTAGCTGCTTTTATTAGAAGATAGGTGCTCACTATTCATTAGCTGACAACGTTTTTGGTTTTTAAACTATTTTTCAATAAAATTCATTATTAATGATCCTATAATACTTAGACAAAATAAATTCACTATGTGAAATAATTACACAGAGGCCAGTATCCTGTCACCAATCATCCTTTGTTTCCTAGTGCACAGTACATTGGCTGTGGCCCAGCCAACTCAGAGTCAGTCACTTCAACTGAGGAGGTTCTAATCTCCTGGTTATATTGGTCAGCCAGGGCTTTCCTGATTGGTCCGGGTTTAACTACCCTAATCAATGACCTAGTAGTTAATAAGGTCAACCTGGTTCCAATCACTACACAATGTTTCCACAATGTAGGATGTGTGATACACATACTCCAAATGCTTTGTTCAGCATTTGGAGTTTCAGCAGCAATCAGCAGCAGGTATTGACCACATGGAGTTTACAATAGGCTTCAACCACAGTGACAGGCCCACAGGTTAGCTCCCACATTGTATCATTTAGCCGTTCTACATTTCAGGAGGTCAGGAACTCTGCGACCTCATTAATTCCGGTTATTTCCACAGTATTATTGCTGAGATGTGTGTTCATTAACTGCAGGGTTCTGCTGTCCACCAAGTATCGTGAAGGGTTCACTGGACAAGTGGAATTTAATGATGAAGGGGATCGAAAATTTTCTAACTACAGCATTGTCAATGTGCAAAAAGGGAAGCTGGTGCAGATTGGAGTGTACAATGGGACTGATGTACGTATGAAAACTAGAACGTTAGCCCCAGCATTAAACTGGGATGAGCTTTTAACCTTGCTATTGTCACATCCTTAACTCTGACCCTGAAGTAATATGAATGTAAACCCCTAAAATCACCTACTTCTAACTCTATCTGAAACCTGGAGTTTATTCCAAAACTCTGCTGCCTACATCCTTTCTCACAAGCCCTGATCACCAATCACCCTGCTCACGTTATCTACATTTGCTCCCAATCTGGCAGTTCCTTCATTTTAAAATGGATATCCTGATTTTAAAATTACTGCTTGGCTTCACCCTTCCCTGTTTCTTTAACTCTTCCTGCCCTACAATCTTCAGACAGATCTGCTGTCCTCGAAAACTTACTCCACCCTCAATTTTAATGGCTGCAACTTTGGCAGCCTAAGCTCCAGACTTTGGAAATACTCCCTAAACCCCTCCACCTCTAAAACCATCGACTAAACCGGAACTGTAAACGTGTGCTGTGACCATGTGAGGAATTAAATAGATAAGGTGACTTTTCTTCCCATTTTAAATACCCTCACCCTCACCTCATTGATGCTACAACCTTCTAAAAGCAGATCTTTTCAGCTAAAGAAAATTAATGTCATTTTATGATTGTATGATAAAAACTTATTAGTAAAGGGATAAAGGGTTAAAACCATAAGACATAGGAGCAGAAATTAGGCCATTCGGCCCATCAAGTCTGCTTCGCCATTTGATCATGGCTGATAAGTTCCTCAACCCCATGGGGAGAAGGCAGGAGAATCGGGTTAAGAAGCATATCAGCCATGATTTAATAGTGGAGCAGACTTGATGGGCTCAATGGCTTAATTCTGCTCCTGTACGAAATGAGTGACAAGAAAAGAAGCTTTTTTACTCAGAGTTGTTAAGATTTGGAATGTGCTGCCTGGGAGAGTGGTGGAGATGGTTTCCATAGGAGGTTTCAAAAGACAGCTGGATATATATTTGGAATTGATGAAGTTAGAGGGCTATGGAGATAGGGCTGGAGAAAGAGACCATCTGGGTAGTTCTTTCAGGAGCTAGTACAGATATAATGGATCAAATGGCCTCCTGTATAATTCTGTGATTCTACACAATCTGGTCTTATGGTCTAGAAACAGCTCAGTTCTTTTAAGTTCACTAGTTTACAAACCAGTCTAATTGAACCAGAGTGATGGGACTTATTTTCTGTGTCTCTGTAACATGGAGTTACTTGTGTGATTACAAGGTATTTATTCCCTCATAACACAGGTTATTCCATCGTCTTAACAAAGAAAATGAAATAATTTGGTATATGTCAAATTATAGAGTGTTTAAATAGAGCACATTATGTGTCAATTGTTTTTCACATCTGATTGTTATATACTATACAGAAATAAGTACATAAACAAATTAGACAGTTGATTTTCAGATCATTAAGTGAGGGCTGTTGGCAGAGTTTATTTCCTTCAACAAGTATAAGTAAATGGGCAATCTTGGCAGTTCAGATGATAAAATGAATGTTTCTCCACCTCTCTGTGACATTTCAATTGAATAAAACCTCTAATGGATATTATGGAGAATGGGAGGGACCATGAGGCATGTATTGTGCTTATGCTAAGTCCTGAACTGATAGGACACATTCACTCAATAGCATTGCATTATCCTGGGATAGAGATTAGAAACCAGGGCTGTAGATCTGTAGAATATACTCCAGCCTCAAAGCAATTGATGCCATGTTGATCAACTTCTTTTATGAAAGAGCGACCTAAATGTTCAGTTAGGAAAGGACTGAATGTTAGTAGGACACATTGGGTATTAATAATTGGAACAGTGTCACTATTAAAACTATGGAAGCACCTTCAGACATTAACTGACCGTGCTGAGCAGTCTAAACTGTGATTTAGAGTGAAGTCCCAGGTTATAATCCACTCCTGAGATTTCCTAGTTACTTATTCATTCCTTGTCAATGCTTTAAGCTCATAATAAAGCAGCTGGTATTGTTTCTGGAAGATTTTTGTTTGATTGCTCTCCCTAGGTCTGCATTTTACATCTTTCACATCAATAATTCTTTTCTGTGCTGTGTTTAACCAATTCCACAGGTTCTGCTGAATGATAAGAAAATCATCTGGCCAGGAGGCGAACTAAATACACCTAAAGGCTTTCAGATGTCAACTAAATTGAAGGTATAAACCTGGGCAAAATTATAGCAGAACAAAGTCTAGCAGGTGTGAAGCTAAAACACTGGATTCTCTGCATGAGAAAAAGTTGGGCAGCATTAAGGATAATGCAGAGGATAGCATCAAATTACAAAGGGATATTGATAGGCTAAGTGAATGGGCAAAACTGTGGCAGATGGAGTTCAATGTAAGTGTGAGATTATCCATTTTGGACTGAAAAACAATAGATTAAGGTACTTTCTAGATGGTGTGAAGTTAAATAGAGTAGTTGTTGAAAGAAATTTGGGGATGCAGGTGCATAGATCTTTTAAATGTTACAAACAGGGCAGAAAATAATCAAGAAAGCTAATGGAATGCTGGCCTTTAAAATGAGAGGACTGGAGTACAAGAATGTAGAAGTTATGCTGCAGTTATGCAAAACCCTTGTTAGACTTCACTTGGAGTCCTGTGAACAGATCTTGGCATTACACCTTAGGAAGGATATATTGGCCTTGGGGGGAGTACAGTGTAGGTTTTCAAGATACCTGGACGTCAGGGGTTAGTTATGAGGAAAGATGATACAAATAAGCCCTGTTTTCTCAAGAATTTATAAAGTTAAGATATTAACAGGAAAAGACAGGATAGATAAAGATAAACTACTTCCACTGGTTGGGGAATTCTAGAACTAGGGGGAATAATCTGAGAATTAGGGCCAGACCGTTCAGGAGAGATGTTAGGAAACATTTCTACACACAAAGGATGGTAGATGTTTGGAACTCTCCCACAAATGGCAGTGGATGCTGGATCTGTTGTTAACTTTAAATCTGAGATGGATAAATATTTGTTAAGCAAAGATATTGAGGTATATGGGTCAAAAGCAAGTATGTGGAATTAGGCCACAGATCAGCCATGAAGTCATTGAATGGTAGAACAGGCTCAAGGGGCTGAATGGCCTCTACCTGTTCCTATGTTGCTCTGAGTCAAAGCCAACTACAACTGATGTCTAAAATAGACAAACAATGAATGGTCAGTTTCGCAATTCAGGAAGGTTCAGTACCCTGTGAGCTGCTTGTCTCCTGCGTCGACCAGAGAAACACATTGTTTAGTGATGATGGAGGAGGAAAGAGATAAACGACCAGGCTTTGGGCATGATGATAAAGAAAGGGTCAGTAATTCTGCCATTGTCAATTACCACAGATGGATTAAAGGAATGAAATATCCAGTATAATAGTAATGGATAGTGCAGAAAAAGCAGTTCTGTTCATTTTCAAATTGTTGTGTTAATGAAAGGTTGTAAAAATGGCAATGTAGTGTTTGCACTGAAAACAGATTGGTAATCTATTTAATGCACCATGTATCAGTTTATTGGTTTATAACCTAAGCTGCAAGCTGCTCACAAGTATATTCATCTTTGGCGAGCACATAGCCTAATCAAGTAAGGCTGAGCATAATGCTTACCTAGCCACGCATCCTTCGCTTTATTCTGACTCTGTCTCTTATAGGAGTGGTCATTGAGGCTGAACACAATCTCACACATAATTTACCAGTAACTATCAACATGTGCAGGTTTATGTTGTGTAATGCCAGACCCTGGGAATAAACTTGGAGAGTGCATCCCATGGATTTGCATAACTGCTTGACGTTTTATTTGAAAACCCCAGATCTGTCAGGGATCCGTTTGTAGTATTGAGACTTGCAATAAAAACTAGAAGTTTAAAACTTCATTTTAAAATGCTGGGTTTTTAAATTCAGAACCTGGTCTTCGATGCATACAGTCCAATTGCCTCAACATTAGGATCCACTTTGACTGAACAAAGTCTGAATTATGTCACAATAATGCTTCCACTATAATTGGGAAAAGTTTGCCTGCTTTCTTTATAAATTTCTTATGAACTCTTCACAAAGCAGATACAGTTCCAAACGATTTATTCCTACAGCTTATTCGGAAACGTGACTCACTCTTTCTGTTTTACCCAAAGATTGTCAGTATTTACCAGGAGCCTTTTGTATATGTGAAGCCAACACTACCAGATGGAACATGTGAGGAAGAGTATACAATTAGCGGGGACCCCATTAAAAAAGTGATCTGCACAGGACCAAATGCAACTGTGCCAGGTAAGCAGCACAATCCCACTCTGCTGTTCACAAGAAATACAACTCACATCCATGGCGCCCATTATTATATAATCACAGCACCCCAACATAACTGATCACCCTCCAGTATAACCACCATTGCCCCAAATACAATCCATCATATCTGCCAAATTATTAATAACGCCCAAAATGAACCACCTCCCACAAATAGAACATATCATTCACCCTAAATTAACCCATTACCCACTACAAATCAATCCATTGCTCCCCCCAACACCTTCCCCTCCCCAAATATAACCCATCCTCTTCTCTACGGCAGTCCCTTGAGATGAGGAGATGAGGACTACTTTCTTCCACTCAGTGAGCTGGATCCGGAGGTGACTGATCAGTCCGATACTGAATCTAACACCCAACCCTGTCCCCCCACCCCCACCACCCTGCTATAGGAGGGCTGGGTAGTGAATGTGTGGAATGTTTACGTTTTCATCACCCCTTCAGTTGTTTACACTCGGCTGCCATCGGAGCTTGACAAAGGTACTCGAGATGGACAGCATCTTTGTGATAATTCTTCTCACATTTGGACAGTTTTGGGCAAGAGATTCCCATGAGTCAATGGGGTTCTGCATTTTTTCAGGGAGGCCTTGAAGCGGTTCCTCCGTCTCCTGATAACTACTGGTTGTAACAAAGCTCGGAGTAGAGATATTGTCTTGGGAATCTAATGTCAGACATGTTGAAAATGGAGGGGAACATGCAGGTGGTGTTGTTCCCAAATTAGAATGAACAAAACAAACAACAGTACTCAACACACAGGAGAAAAATAAAGGTGTGCTTCTTAAATTTCTATATTACACACTGCGCTCTTTCGAGAAAAGCGTAATTTATCATTCATAATTTATTGCTGTTGATTCCTAATTCCTCTTGAGAAGATGGTGGTGAGTTGCCTTTTTGAACCACTGCAGTCCATGTGCTGTAGGTAGACCCACATGCTGTTAGGGAGGGAGTTCCAGGATTTTGACCAAACAACCCTGAAGAAATGGTGAAGTGGTTTCAAGCCAGGATCGAGTGTTGCTTAGGTGATGGTGTTCCCATGTATCTGCTGCTTTTGACCTTCTAGGTGGCAGATGTCCCAAGTTTGGATGTTGCTATCCGGTGAGTATTGCAGAGCAACATGTGGATTGTACACACTGCTGCTGCAGTGCTTTGGTGGTGCAGGGGGTGAGTGTTGAAGATGATGGGTTCCAATCGAGACTGCTACTTTGTTCTGAATGGTTTCAAGTTTCTTGAGTGTTGTTGGAGCTACACCCAGCTGGGCAAGTGGAAAGCTTTCCATCACACTCCTGACTTGTGCCTTGTGTAGGTGGTGGACAGACTTTAGATAGTCAGGAGGTGAGTTACTCTGCTGTATTCTTGTTGCCATTGTATTTATACGGCTAGTCCTGGTTCATTTCTGGTGAAAGCTAACCCCAATATTTTGAGATTTCTAGATACTTGTTAACACTTTTGGACAGATATTCACAAGTTGCACATTTCCAAGGGATTTATACATCGTTTATGGACAATTTTCTCCACAGTTTTCTGTCCAAAATAGCACCTGCACACCTCCACACTAAATGGATCCGTGACCTGCACCGCAAAAGAACAGCAAACAACAGGATCCCCCAGGGATTCCTGCCCGCCCTTTCTCATGTTTCCTTGAACCATATACACAGGGGTAAGTCAGATCACCAAAGGCATATCTTTAACTGGTCTAATCCCAACGTTCTGGATTCCACACTTACGGGACTCCAAAATCCTGTTTCACTGCACTCAGCAAGGAGCCAGCCGACTGCTTGTTTCAGTGGTCAGTTGTCTTTGGGAGCCATACGTGCATGAACCATGGGCCACCCACAATCTGCCCCAGTGAGGTTTGGTTCGGGGACTGGAATTGTGATTCCCAGCAAATTCCAGCATTGTTGCCATAGCGGAGGTATTCTCCAGGGACCTCCATGCAAGGGTGAGCATGTTAGGTGTCATGCCGCCAAGAAAGCTGACAGGATCACGAGCCAATCGGCTTGTTAGGAGCTGATCAGCAAATTTCTTGACCTATCACATGACTTGATAGTGGTTTCATTGCTTACTTGCCAGATGATGTTGGCCAGTTTGAGGCTGGCAGCTTCTGGGTCTTAAGGTCCACCAGACAAGTCCTACACTTCAGGAAATCCAACAATGAGAAGATAAGTTTTTTTATCAATGAGTGGGAGTCATGGGGAGGGGAGTTCATGTGGGTTGAAGGCAAGGGCAGTGGAGGGGATTGGCTTTGAGAAGCCACACCTTGCTACCTTTCCATTCCTCCAGTGTCCCTACATTGAGATAGTTCCAAGTTCCCTTCCAACCCGATAGACAGGTCGCCATAGTTACCCAGTCAGGCAATCAGCTACTTTCTCACCTGCTGCAAATGCAGGTAATAGGGGAGGGGGCAAATAGAGACTCTCAAGTGACTGTTTATTGACCACTTAAGGGCTTTAATTGCTGGTGAGTCAAAAAACCCTCAGTGGAACTTCTTGCCTAATGCTTAATGAAGTGGCAAGTATATCTCCAGATCCAACTCACCCAATTATTTTCCCTGCTCAGCACCTTTCTTGCCACCTTCTGGCAAGGGGAACTTCTGCCATCTGTTTATAAATTTACAGTTTTTGACAGTCATTCACATTTCAAATATTCTTTAAAAGTCTGTACTATAATGTATTTGAAATGTGGGAGCAGCACATTGTGATTTAAGTCTTTGCTAACTACAGTCTGTTATATTTCACAGGTCGTCCCATTGTCCCTCAGTGCTGCTATGGATTCTGTATTGATTTGCTGATCAAGCTTGCGAGCACTCCGACACTGAACTTTACCTATGAGGTTCACCTGGTCCACGATGGGAAATTTGGGACACAAGAAAGAGTAGGTATTCCTTCTTTCATTCAATGAGGGAAAACTTGGATAAGATTGGAAAACATGCACAAGCATTGCCGTATATCATTAATCCACAATCATTCCTGGTGATTCAGGCAGCATGTTAAATTTATGCTGCCTATTACTAGATTGCTACATGGATTGTCCCTGTTGTTCATTAGCTGCACACATCAACAGGGAGTCTGATAACAGAGGCAGCCAATGCTATGTAGAGGGGAGGTTTATTGTGGCTACAGGAAAGCAGTCCTTCATGTACATATAGAATGTGTGCTCTTGAGGGTTGAAGAATGGTTGAATACTGTCAAGGTCATGCACCAGGGTTTTCTGAGAGTGCATCAGAGGTCTTGGAAGTGGAGGAATGGAGGAGAGATGCCCATTATCAGCAGGGCAAGGAGTTGCATGCTCAGGAGAAAGGGGAAAAATAGCAGATGAATGTCAATGCCAGGAGGGTTTTGCCAATCTTGATGCAGTATGGAAAGAAGTTTAATAATTGCACTTAAGTTGTCAAAGTCAGTGAGTTCACCTTTAAATCTCCTATCAACTGCACCAGGGCATTATTCATAATACCCCTTCACTCAGTCACTAACAATCTCTATTAAACAGGACTCAGCCTATCTCACCCTTACACACTTGGCACTTGCAATTGCGTCTTGCTCACTCTGGCAGCTATTCCACCGTGGCAGCCATATTATCCAAACACATTCATAGAATCCCTACAGTGTGGAAACAGGCCATTCGGCCCATTGAGTCCACATCAACCCTATGAAGAGCATCCCACGCAGACACACCTTCCTGTGATTACAGCTTCTTGTATTGAAAAAGTCCAACTTGAGTGGAGACTACTGTAAGATTCCTCAATTATTCTGCAAGCCCAACTCAAGCCTGCTTTGAGGTTATGTTTACAGTCTTTCACACCATTCACTTTCTCTCTGATGTCATTGATCATTGGTATCAAGCGTCTTTCTTGTTGCATTATTTGTTTTGGTGGCTGCATATCAACATGGACCCAAATGAGGTTCTTGCTGTTGGGTTCCTTGTTAATTATATTGTGAGATCCAAATAGTTGTCTAATTCCCAACTTTTTCAATTATATCAAGGTCCATTTGGTTCTCAAGTTTTTTTCTCTGTCTGTTTTCTGACATAAAATAATATTTGTCATGGTTGATGTATAACAGGGGTACATTAGTCTCTCCCTGCAACGTGCATATAACCTCTTTCAGCTAACTGCTCTGATGCTTTCTCAAGTACTTTTCAGTGTAATTGACCAGAGAGAAAAGCTTTGTTCATTTGTGTTTCGATTTCCCATTTAACAGGTTCAACGTCACTGAAGTCACATCTGGTTGTTAGTTGCTTCAATCATTTTCAATATTAGCCAATTGTCTTGTTTAGTGCACCAAAAGATAATGGATTTGTAAATTGTACTTCTGGGTAAAATAGGTTGTAAGTGCATTCTTTGCTGATTTGTAGTTATTTTGCATAGGTTCAAATGTTTCAAAAACAAATTCTAATTCTTCACCCCCATAGTAGTGATGTGAAACCACTTTTATTTTGCTATCTGTGATTTCAAAATCTGGTTACATCTTTGAAGAGTTGCAACCACTTTCACCAATTGAATTGGCAGCTTTGCATACAACATCTCAGAAACACCATGCATCCATCGAATGACTGCTCAAGGTAGTTTGCTTACAGGCAGCAGTGTTCCACAAACAGCAATGGGATGATTTATTTCTTTTTGCTTGTGTTATTTGGCAGTCAGATACCACAGGGACACACTGTTCTTCCTTTAGTGGCTTGAGTTTGGTGACATTAAATGGATAGAACAAGCAAATAGTCCTCCAACAGAGGGGCTTTGTCTTGGATCACAGAGTGAATCCAAGTGGTTCTTTTTGGATTTGGTTAAATGTAGCTAAGAGAAGGCTCAACAACAGCAGTTTGCTTAAATATGAACATCTATTGAGTAAACGAAAAGAATGAAAAAGGAAGGGAATAAACAATAAGCCTCACGCCCTTCTGCCTGTCCGGGACCCCTCGATTGATGGCAGGTTTGGAGGCTGAGGTTGTTCCTGACACCGTTCGCGATCTCAGTCTAAGGTGAAGTCCAGCAACTTGGAATGAAACTCTGTCTCTTATACAGTGTAACAAACAGCAAAGCACAGAAAAACAGTTACAGAAAAACACATTGATTGTGCCATCTCTAGCATGTACAGAAATGTTCACAGGACTCATTCAAAGTCATGCAGCTGTCAAATATCATGAACAAGTTTAGCCCTTCAGCCCATCCTATACAGGTCTTGCCTTAAAGACCTAATGGAGTATCAGCCTGGTCAACATAATCAAGTCCCAATGTGGAACTCAGGTCTACACACCTCCTACTCACAGAGGTAATGTAACACCAATGATCTAAGCCAACAGTTCTCTCTTTGAATCCAGGAGAAGTATTTCAGGCAACAGCAGTGTGTGGGAGAGTGTTTCTGTTCCTGCGTAAAGCAGAATTTTAACATGTCAATGAAGAATTTTTTGCCCCCCACACCACAGCATTTCAAATGTTCTGCACAAATTATTAGAAAGCCTATAGAAACCTTAGAAATCTTTAAGAGGGTTAAAAATATGGTTATATTTCTGTGAGACTCCAGGATGCCAGGGTGAGCAAATCCACTGACCTGCATCAATCTGCTCTGTGGGCAAGGGTTTAGTTTGATCTCTGACCTACTAAACTGATACCATACAGCTATATGCCACCCTGGCAAAGTCAGCAAGCAGCACAGTGAACTGTCTGACTGTCCTAATCTGGTCTATCCAGCTAATACAGTACCAATTACTGACCAGATCCTCCCAAAGGGAAATGCACATTTAATGGTAAGTGACCACATAAGGGACAGTTTGTGTTGATGAATTTGAGTTTTGAGCATAGGCCAGACTTTCAGGAGGGTAGATGCAGAAGGGATTGTGGCAGCTTAAAAAGTGCAACACAGAGGGACAAATGAGAACTAGTCGCACAGCATTTTCAGACCCATCGCACCACAGTCATTCTGGAGGTCTGGTCAATCATGACACTAAGTTGTAATTCAGGGCACCCTTCATAGAGGGCAGCAGTGTGCCATTATTGGGAGCAGGAAATACAGAAGCTCAACGCTGCATACCTGCAAAACGTGCATCTGACAAAGAAACAGTTTCTGTATTTCAAGCAATCCTTTTTAAGACTGAAATGAAAAGTTGAGTGGAAGTAACTGAAGACATTTGGTAATTTGCAGAGTTGAGTTGTGTTGAACCAATATTGCTCAGAACCAATTTCCAGCGCACACTCTCTCTCTTTCTCTCTCTCTCTCAATATCTGTGCCACTAATGTTTCCAAATGCTGATTGGATGCTTTAATCTGTTCCAGGTGAATAACAGCAATAAGAAGGAATGGAACGGGATGATGGGCGAACTGTTGAGTGGGCTTGGTGATATGATCGTTGCCCCTCTAACCATCAATAATGAACGTGCCCAGTATATTGAATTCTCCAAACCCTACAAGTACCAAGGACTCACCATTCTAGTGAAGAAGGTATGGCGTAGAGATTTTATCTCTCAGCTACTCATCGAGCCATCCAGTCACAGCCATTTTTCCATGCAGTTGTCTAGTCATCCTGCCACACAGGATGTCATCGAAGTACTTCACTCTGTGAACACGCACATGAGGTTGTTTTTTTTTTACATTCTTTCATGGGATGTGGGTGTCACTGCCTGGACCAGCATTTATTGCCCATTCTCTAGTTTCCCTAGAGAAGGCAGTGGTGAGCCGCTGCAGTTCATGTGTTGTAGGGGAGACCCATAATACCGGAAGGAAAGATGGTTAGCTTCCCTTCTCTACGGAAGAGATTGAGTTACAACGGTGAGAACTGTCAAGTTAGTTATAGAGTCATAGAGTCATACAGCGTGGAAACCCTTAGGTCCTACTCGTCTGTGCCAACCAGTTTTTCCAACTGAACTAGTCCCATTTGCCTATGTTTGGCCCATACCCCTCTAAACCTTTCCTATTCAAAACGCCAATGTATTCCTCTAACTATCGAATCCCCTCTCATTATTGCTGTTCCTGTCTACCTTGTGTCCTCCCTACACGGCTGAGTGCTGCCATGGATTCAGCTCTGACTGCACTCCCCAGCTGAACTATCACTCTGTCCTCAGGATTCGGAACATTGTATTGGTTGGTGAGGGGGATGCACTTAGTGACTCCCTGTGTTACCTTCCTTTTGACATTCTGGTGGTCACTCATTTCCCTCTCTTCCTACATGTTCTTAAGCTTTGGGGTGACCACATCAATAAGTGTGCTATCCATGTAGCTCTCAAACCCTCAGATGCTCTGTAGCAATGCCAGCAGCTGCTCCCTTTCTGAAAACTGGTCATGAATGACTCTGACAATTGTTATCTTTCTGGATAGGCAATAGGGCCAGGTCCAGAGAGACAAAGTATATTGAAGTCTGTGGGAAGGGGGAGATGACAGTGACAGAGACAATGTGTACGTACATTGTTCCCAGAATGTTTCCCATTCCACTTGATTGCACCTACTTCTGGAAAAGTGAAGCCAGACTTCCATGCTCTGACTGCAGTGTTTCTGCTTCTGTGACATAGGAAATACCTCGCAGTACCCTGGATTCATTCATGCAGCCATTTCAGAGTACACTATGGTTGCTGGTGGGTCTGTCTGTTCATGTGGTAGCTGTGATGCTTTATCTCCTGGATAGATTCAGGTTTGTGGTGTCTTAATCAAATTCACTTCTGCTTTTCATTCTTTTAGCTGATAGGATTGGATTTGTGAATTTCTGTTTGTACAGGTGGAGAATAGGGGTTGTAATTGTAGCAGGATCATTATATATGGAAATATTTACCTTAGCTCCACTAAGTATCTTGTCCATAACTGACAATTGTAAGTGGTGAGCTTATTAGATTAATATTTAATAAGTTTTGACAGTTTAGGAAGAACACAAAGTATCAGTGCTACAAAGAAACTGTGAAATAAGGTGAGGCAAGGAAATTAATTAAGTAGAAACAATTTTTTAAAATTGCTAATTATGAAAAGTAGGCTCACGATATCTAAATGTCTAGATCCTGATGGGACTTCCAAGGGACATTTAAAAACAAAAGCAGAAAATGCTAAAAATACTCACCAAGTTTGACAAGATATGCAAAAGCAGAGCTAAGTTTTGTCTCCCTAGCAGCGGTGGGGTAGGTGGCAGGAAAGGCAAATAATGGGTGGGCTGGCACCAAAGAAAACTTTCTCTTTCCCACCACATCAGCAATTGGGTGCTCGATAGGAAGACGCATCATTGACTTTCTGACTGATGCCAGTTAAGGCCCTGAAGTGGTTACCTATTGATCACTCAATGGCTTGAACCTGTCATAAATCTGGTCACCTGTTGCCTGGCTGCAGAGAAGAGTTAACAAGGTGTAGAGCTGGATGAACACAGCAGGCCAAGCAGGAAGGCTGACGCCCGAAATGTCAGCCTTCCTGCTCCTCTGATGCTGCTTGGCCTGCTGTGTTCATCCAGCTCTACACCTTGTTATCTCAGATTCTCCAGCATCTACAGTTCCTGCTATCTCTGCAGGGAAGAGTTGCTGCTTTCTGGCGGGGCGATCTGCCTGACCAGTTTAGTTGGGAGGAGGATCAATTTTCACCAAACTATGAACAGTTCAGGGCACAGTTGGGGATTTGGGGGAAAGCCAACAAGCTGGTCTTACCTCCAACGCCCCTAAACCCTTTCTCCTCTTGGCCCCCACCCCACTACCTCCCAAAAAACTTCTGGCTTCTGATTGGCCAGCAATTTCAGGCTATGTAGGATTTCACTGTTGATGCCACCTGGTAGGCTAGGAAATCTGCCACTCACTGCTTCACGTGTATAATTGGTGTTTGATCCAGTGGATTTTCACACTGGTGAGGACAGGGGTTTGGTCATCATTAAAGACACCTGCTGCCACATTGAGTTCATTTTACATTAAATCGCAGACAATGTTTCAGGTCAATGATCCATCCTCTCAACTTTAAAAAGTTAGAGTTGTGAGAGGTTTTACACAATTAGAGGGGAGAAGGAGCAATGTGAGAGGTGTATAATAGAATGTGGACAGGTTAAACAACAAAAAACGGCATGTTGGTACAAGGCAAAAGGAGATGGTATATGGGACAAATAAAGAAACAAAAGATGAGAGTGAGGAGGTGTAATCAGGACCAGTCCCATTTTAAGAAAATCTCCGGCAAATTTCTCTCTGATCTTCAAAAGCAATCAAAGAAGTTCTAGGAGACTTATTGTGAGCAACCTCTAACCACTTCCTGTGTCTTGAATGAGCTTCACTGTCTGAAACGCGTTCAGTTATCTTTTGTAGTTTAACTGTGAATCCAGACATCAGGTTCACACTAACTGTTAGAAAGAAATATCTTCCAGCTTTAAGACTATTGTGGGTTTTGTATTTTATATTGTTGACACCCCCTCAACCATTCCTTCCCACCCACAATCCTCCTGCTCTGTAATCATGATCCTCTGCCCACATACCTGGCTACTCCTCTGTTTCCCTGACCTCCTGTCCTCATACTGCAATGGAAGGAAACCACATCAGGATATTACCCTACAGCTCAAAAATCTGAGATAACTGAGATCAGAATTGGTTCATCAATTGGTCGCCCAAAAGCATTTTGGCCAAATAGTATTTTGCTGAAAATTAGTGGCTCTTGTGTAGATGGTGAATTTGAACCAAAACTTTACAGTATTTCATCCTTTGAATAAAGCTGAAACTGAAGAAGGAGATTTGCAATAGGATAAGCCGTGATTGTAATATAAATTGGCAACCCATGATAATGTGGAGTTGTAACATCTGTATCTCCTGCTTTTCAGTCCGTTTGGGCGATTTAAAGTGAACAGTGAGGAGGAAGAGGAAGATGCACTGACCCTGTCCTCAGCCATGTGGTTCTCCTGGGGTGTCCTGCTGAACTCTGGAATTGGAGAAGGTGAGCTGGGAATTGCTGGGACCCTGCAGTGTAAAGAGTCTCAAAGTCATTACAGTCTCCCACTGGGTTTGTTGCACATTTCCAAGTTCCTCAGCTTGTATTCTTTAATGTTCCAACCAATTCAACTTTTCTGATTCTGAATCTATCAACTTTTATATAACTATTACATATATATTTAACTATCTGTGTGTAACTATTTATATACGTCTAACTAATTTTGATATACATATATATACATAATATATAAAATATATGAATACTATCTTTTTTAAGATGGGAACTGACTTATATGTGTATCTTTTTAAACAATTATCCAATCTGTTTATCACTGTCTCATTTGTAGATTACTCTTGGTCTTGACTCCCTCCATACCAAAACTTTTAGGGGACTGACTGTTCAGAGTTATATTCAATTCTCATTTGATTATCACTAATAGTTCATTTGAAGAGCAGTTATGTGGAAGATTATCTAGGGTCAATTCTAAGACTCTGTGTGCTAAGACAATTGAGGCTTTTAAGACTGAAGTTAGGAGAATTTTTTTGCATAAAAATATAAAAGAATATAGAGTTAAGGTGGGCAAATCTGAACCACTGTTCAGCCATGACTTAAACTGAATGTCAGAACAAACTTGAAGAGCTGAACGGCCTCCTCCTGTTGTTATTGCCTGTTCTTAAACTCCTACACACACATTCATCGAGGAGCGGGGAGATGAACCATGCAGCTGGGAGAAGGCTAGAGTTTTACAGGTAGTGTTGATTTTTGAGTGCTGTCTGCTGTTTACAGGAGGGTTGTATATCTTGAACAACTGATGTGAAATTGGGATGTTGAGGGTCTGAACAGCACAGAGAGAGTGCAGCACATCTGAGATGGTAAATAATGAAGTTGCCTAAAACGGTGTCTCTCCAAACTACATTTTCCAGGCGCTCCAAGGAGTTTCTCTGCTCGAATCTTGGGCATGGTTTGGGCTGGATTTGCCATGATTATTGTTGCTTCATACACAGCCAACCTGGCAGCTTTTCTGGTGTTGGACAGACCCGAGGAGCGGATCACTGGAATCAACGATCCCAGGGTAAAGCTTTCACATTGCTGTAAGAGCTGTACAATGAACAGTACATTACAGATCCTTTAGCTACATCTCTCCCAATAATTACAGCCTGGAACTGCAGCAGCATCTGCTGTTGAGCAGAGATTTATCCAACACACCTCCTCCTAACACAAATGTGCCGCTCACCACTTTAACTCCGTGACCACATGTTAGGATTTTCCGTATAGCCACCCTCAAAGCTGGAATCCAAACTACATCACAAACAGTTCTCCATATCCTCACTTACGAACTTCTTTCGAAAGAGAGTGAGTGAATTTGAGGCATGCGTCTTCAGAAAATCATCATTTTTCGCACATTATTATTTGGAGAATGTTTAAACATTGGAGAATGCTTGGAGCAGATTTCTGTAAATATTCCTGATGAATACATACATTTATGAGAATGAGTTGGATCATGACGGGCTGTACTGTGAGAAAAAAAAGTCATACTGTAGCCACCACATTCTCTTCTAGACATCTCCTTTGACATTTCTTATTGCGGCACAATACCTTAAAAGGCCTAGTATCAGCCAGAATAACATGAATGCTCCTACAAATGTTCCTTTGTTTATTTTCCCTGGTTATAGAGTCATAGAGAAACAGACCCTTTGGTCCAACTTGTTCATGCTGACCAGATAACCTAAATTAATCTAGTCCCATTTGCCAGCATTTGGCCCATATCCCTCTAAACTCTTCCTACTTATGTACCCATCCAGATCCCTTTTAAATGTTGTAATTGAACCAGCCTCCACCACTTCCTCTGGCAGCTCATTCCATACATGCACCATATTTTGGATATTATTGTTGTAGGAAGGTTAGATGAAATAGCCACTAAAGTTTCTATTTTGCTCGGATTGGAGCAGTACTTTTAGCATTTCGCACTCTGGAACTGCTTCCCTAATTCACTGTGTAGTAGATTTGCAATGAAAATGTAAATTGTGCGATTTCTGATTTGCTGGCTGGTATTTGGGAGGCCAGTTGAAAATCTATCCTACACCTCCGTAGGTTGTGAAGATGAAATAAGAATCCAAGCATTTTTAACCCACCTTCTGTTTTGTTCACAGCTTCGAAATCCTTCCGATAAGTTTATCTATGCTACAGTGAAGCAGAGCTCTGTGGATATTTACTTTCGTAGGCAGGTAGAACTGAGCACCATGTACCGGCACATGGAGAAACACAATTATGAGAATGCAGCTGATGCTATCCAGGCTGTGCGAGATGGGTAATACTCTCAGCAACCTTTGAAACATTGTTTAATCCTTCTTATCCCACTCTTAGTGATACAAAGTAATGGCTCTGTTCCCCATGTAGACCTGAGCATTTTCAAAATCAAGAGTCTCAATTTCAATTCCTGAGTTATCAAGCAAAACCGTTTTCAGGGTGCTACAGTAAGAGCTGATGGTGTAAATATCAGCTAGGGTGTCCAGTCCACACATATATGTGCTCAGGATTGGCAATGGTGACCCCCACAATCCTACAGCTTGATGGCCTTCAGTGTCTAAAGATCACCTATGAAACATGGAACCATTTGGTTAAGATTCTGAAGGTCTGCTGTTATGGTACTCATGATAGATAGGTGGGTGTTGAGTAGGTGATACAGTGTATATTGGAGAGTGATGTGGTGTATGCAATGGACATGTCAGTCCAGCTTTAGGATCTGAGCTATACAGTCTAGGAAGCTCCAGATTCCATCTCAAGTTGATAATGTTAATGATCACAGCTTGTTTAGCAATTGGACACAGGAATGGGAAAGATTCCTATCAAGGTTTCTATTAATCATTATCCAGACAAACCCTTTGAAAAGCTCTTGGTGTGAAATGAGAATGAAACTTGAACAGGCTTTTCTGTGTGTACATCTGTTGTATTAAACAGAGATCCAGAAGAATGAGCATCTCAATCTCAAGTTGGTGTCTTCCTGTATACATAGAGTTAACTTTCTGTAACATCTATCACAACTTGACAACCCAAAGCACTTCCCCGCCAGTGAAGTCCATTTGAATCACTGTCGCATTGTAGGGAACAAAGCAGATAACATACCCGGGACAAGATCCTAACAACTGAAACTTGAAGATGACCAGACAATTTTTGTTTTCAGTGATGTTGATTGAGGAATAAATATTGATTCAGACACCAACATTGGTGACTTACTCTGCTACACCTTCAGCTCCTGTAGGAAAGTAAATCACAATTTGGAAGGTTCACAACACACCCCAGAGATCCCTTTACCAACCATGTGACCCTCCACCCTAATCCGTCTAACATTCTTCAGCTTGTATCTGAAGAAGGCTTGGATTGGGTTGAATTTTCATGGGTGGTAATCTGACAGGACCTTGTAAGAAAAAAATATTTCTTGATGTACGAATATGTCTGGATAGCAGCAGACAGAAGGTCAGAGAGTGAAGATACCACAACATATCCAGTATATGCAGCACAATCTCACTGGATGTTATTCAACTCCATGTAAAGTGAGGTAGAAAGTTTCAATTGGTAAATCTAGTCACAAAACAGCCAAAACATGAAGGTAATGTTGTTTGGTACAGATAATGCTGTGGCAATCCCGAAAGTATTTTGGTGGCTTGAATTTGTCCGTGTGTTGTTACACTCTTCAGATCATTTAGTAGATACAGTGAAAGTTGTTACTAATCAGACTCTGTTTCATTCTAGAAAACTGCATGCATTTATCTGGGACTCGGCTGTGCTGGAGTTCGAAGCATCCCAGAAGTGTGATCTCATCACCACAGGCGAACTGTTTTTCCGATCGGGTTTTGGGATTGGAATGCGGAAGGACAGTCCATGGAAGCAGGCTGTGTCACTTGCTATATTGAGGTAATATTTTAATAGCATGGTTTGTGGTTGCACTATCTCCCTCTTGGGAGAAATCAATATTTGACATTAAATCATTGTTTTCTAATCTAACTGTCCCTCCTCCTCACTCTGACTACTTCAAATTAAGTATGGAAACTCAGCTTGGTCTGAGTTCAAATCAAACATTCTCTGTCTTTCTCCCTTTCTCCCTCTCTGTCTCTGCCTCTGTCTCTCTATCTCTCTGACTCTCTCTCTTTATCGCTCTCTGTCTCTCTCCATCATTCCCCCACCCCACTCTGACCTGCCCCCCACCCTCGCCCACGTCTCTCTCTCTCTCTCTTTCTTTCACTCTCACTCCCCACTTATGAATAAGGTCCTTGCTATTCCATAGCTTGACTGCAGTGCGACGAACTTTCGAAGTGAATGAAGCCTCCCTCCCTGGGTACAACTTCCACTATTTGCCCCAGAAAATCTGTCTCTGGTGTTGTGGCTGTTATCACCAAACTTCACCTAAGGCCTCACCCTCTACACTTTTTGCACCTTCGGTTCCTTTGAGCATTTCACTTCGTTCGATCTCTGTCAGCTCTCATTCAAACTCCTCATTTTGTATCGCCTGTCCAGTACCAAGAGAATTTTTTCACAGAGACATCTTCATTGCAATTCCACCTTCAGCCTCTGTTTTGAACAACTTCTCCTACTTTAATCACCAAACCAACTCATCATGCTCTCTCCTCTGAGTTCATTGTCCTTTTATCCTCCCTGAATCTTCCTCTATGTAAACTCCCCAACTCCAATTCATGACCTTATCATTTCACGTGGTCTTGCTGCATCTTGTCATCAATGAAGCCAGCTCTAATCACTTCTCCAATCTCCTTTGAAAACCCAACCTTATGTCCTCCTGCGTCCCCTCCTGGTAAACTCTAGCCCCTATCACTTACAAGTGCACTTGCAACATTGCAACTACATGTCTTTGATTCTCTGTTCCTCATAACATTTCTGCAGCAATGGATTTGCTCAACCACATCATCACCTCTATGTTTAATGCCCTGATCCCCAGTACATATCACTACGGTGGTCTTTATTTCCCAGTCCAGATTTCATCTCCACTCCCTTATGTTGAAGGGCTGCAGATGTGAATTGAAACACTGGGTGACTGTTACCATTCACGCCAGGCCTGGCTGGACCATAAAAAAATCACTACCTTGTCCTGTTGCCACCTGTTAAAACCACTTTGTTTCTGATTCCTCCCAGGATGAAAAGTAGATATTGGCTCCTTTTCTGTCATGCAAGCCACTTTTTAAACCCCTCTCTCTATCTCCATAACCCTCACCTACATAATGTGTGAGGAGCTCATGGACTTTTTTGTCACTAATATTGTGACCATTCAGTTTGTTGCTATCTGCTGGGTTCCTCCCTTCTCCTGTAAAGCTTGTCCCCTGCCAATGTTCTGAATCCACATTGTTCTCTGGTTTCTCCCCAAACCTTCCAAATGCTGTCTCCCAATTTGTCTTGAACATGAGACCAACCCTTGCTCCCTCCAACCTGTTGCCAACTAAACTCTGACCCCAAAAACATGAAGAATAAAGAACTACTGGAAATCTGGAACAAAAAACAGAAATTGCTGGAGAAACTCAGCAGTCTGGCAACATCTGTGGACAGAAAGCAGAGTTAACATTTCAGTCCAGTGACTCTTCTTCAGAATTGATTGTAGCTATGGAAAAGGTGATGTGTATATATACTGAAAATGTTGCAGGGGGAGGGGATGGTAACAAGGGTGGGGTGAGGGCAGTGGAGGCTGTGGGCTGGTAAAGGATTAAAAGATAGCTGGAGATGGAGTCCAAAGAGAAAACAGCAGCTGAACAGACAAAGGGATGGTGGCCTGGTGTCTTGGATTACAGCATTTATCCAAACGGTTCTTTTCAGATTCAGGTAAATATAATTAAGAGAAGGCTCGACCACAGCAATTTGCTTAAATACGAATGTTTATTAAGTAATGGTAAACAATTACAGTGGTAATAATAAATGGAACAGAAAAGGGAAAAAAACAAGTCTCACGCCCTTCTACATAAAAGCAACAAGTCTCACGCCCTCCTGCCTGCTGGCGGCCCATTGACCAATGGCTGGTCCGGAGGCTTAAGTTCATTCCTGGCACCATTCACGATTCTGAGCCAAAGCGAAGTCCTGTGATTTGGAATGAAACTCTTTCTCTCTTATACAGTGCAACAAACATCCAGCACAACGAAAGCAGATACAGAAGACAAAACACAGCTACAGAAAAACAAGTTGCAGGTGTCGTCTTCAACCTGTAAAAGAATGTTAGCAAGATCCAAGGTCATGCAGCTTGTCTGTATCATCAACAATTTTAGCCATTCAGCCCATCCTATGCAATCTATCTTCTCATGCAGCTGTCGAATATCATCATTAACTTTTAGCCCTTTGGCCCATCCTGTACATTCCAGCCCTGATGATATTTGACAGCGCATGTTACATTTGCAAGTGCAGACACAAATCAGTGACAGCTGCACAATAACATATAATAAGAGAATGTAACCTGCACTAGGAGATTAAAACTGCAATGAAAATAACTACCATCAATGTAAAGCATACAGCAATAGGATGTGTCATCAAATTAATGATCGCAATGGCTTTTGGGGACCAACCTTTAAATATATACATAGCACCCCTGATGTATGGTCAAGGCCGTGATGGAGCCAGCAAGTCATGCCACAAAAACAAAGTTGCTGGAAAAGCCCAGCAGGTCTGGCAGCATGTGTAAAGGAAAAAACAGAGTTAATGTTTTCGGTCCAGTGACCCTTCCTCAGCAAGTCATGCCACCTGATTGAGGTGACCAGAATATCGTCTACGTTCTTTTTCAGTTAATTTGCTCTAAGATTCGGTATATTCCAGATACAGGTTCCTTAATTTCTGTTTTGCTTTTATCCTCCAGTTCCCTATCCACAGATTACTTCACCCAATAACAGTAAAATAACATCATGTATGGACTCAAAATTTCTCCAGCTCTCGTCATCTGGATCTATCATTGAATCATAGAATCCCTACAGTGTGGAAACAGGCCCTTTGGCCCAACAAGTACACACCGACCCTTGGAGCATCCCACCCAGACCCATCACCCTATAACCCACCGAACCTACAGATCCCTGAACACTACGGGCAATTTAGCATGGCCAGTCCACCTAGCCTACACATCTTTAGACTGTGGGAGGAAACCGGAGCACCCGGAGGAAACCCACGCAGACACGGGGAGAATGTGCAAACTCCACACAGACAGTCGCCCGAGGCTGGAATCGAACCCGGGTCCCTGGTGCTGTGAGGCTGCAGTGCTAACCACTGATATCTTGAGGATACTTCTTCAATATGTTCCCCTCCTTGCCACTTGTATGAATGACTGTATAATTGAGTGGTAACAACCTCCTTTTGAGCTACAATATACATGGTAAACACTGGAGTACATGCATCATAGAAACACTCAAGATGGGGTATCTGTATGTCATCCAATGGGCCCTTTCACTAATACTACTTCCATTGTTTTAAAGTCAGCGTCTCTATGGATTTTGTCAGTGTCTTATCATTTAAACTATGTTTTTGTGCTCTTCCAAGCCACACTAAACCTTTTGTCAAGTAAGTGTACCTTTCTGAGACCCGTTCTTTAGTGCATTTTTTTTAACTGTCTCCTGTTTGTTACCTCTGAGTTAACATTCACTTTTGCACGCATACATCAGTATCCCAAGACCATGTCACGCATTCTTGACTCCCACATTATCTTATCAAATGATCTATGAAGTCTTGCTTATCTCTCCATGTATGGTCCCGATGCCTCGGGTAGTGGCTTGATTACCAATTCAATTCTCTTAAAAGGAAAGACAAAGACACAAACATCACCAAGAGAAAGCTGTCAGTTTCATGTTCTCATCTAAACCTCCTTTTTACTACTGTAACATTTGAACCTGAATTGCCACTTTAACCCATTATTCTAATTTTTTTTTGTCTTCTGCCACCAGTCTCCACCCTTAATTACTTCATCTCATCCAATTTTGCAACTTAAATATTACCACCAGATCTAATTCTAGAGATCTGTAGAGATTTGTAGTCCATGGAACATAATCTTATAATATTTTAAATCAGAAGTCAAACATTTCTGTTTGATTCAGGCACAAGACACTTTGTTCTTTTTCTAAGATGACCCACTTTTTAAAAAAGTTATTCGATGACTCATTCTATATATTTGACATATCTCTATGTAAATTTGTCCACTTTCAATATTCTGTTTACTCCCTTAAAGCCACTAAATATTTTTATGCCATTGAGACTGTGTGCATGCATTTTATCATTTCCCAGAATCCCTTTAAATTTTCAGGTAATTATTCCATTTAAATGTTTTAGAATACCAGGGCATGTGAGTCTTAATATAGTTTCTGTCATGACATGCTTAAGTGTACCCAGGCTTAGTGGTTTTGAGATTCCTGACACTCACTACCATTAATATTTCCACAGTACTTCCCCAGCACTGGAATGTGTTATTGATGAATGGCTTGATGGGTTGAGGGTGCCTCATCCATCACTGTATTGCGATGTTGAAATTATGCAAACGGGTTCAGCCTTCAGTGTCTCCAATTTCTAAAAGAAACAAACAAGATCCATTCATTCCACGTCAAGTAGAATGAGTTAATTAGTATTAATGAACTACAATTCAAAAAGGGGGTGGGGAATAAACTCCTGCATGTAATTACATCATCCATCTCTCCGCCTCCTTGAAGGAAGGAAAAAGCCCGCCCCTTTGTCAAATTTGCCTTTCCTAAACTTCTGTCCCACAAAGAGTTGCATTTTCAACATTGCAATGTGCCTATCACTTGGATATTAACAATGAGTCAATCTTATCATCTGGAATTAAAGATTTACTCATGTTAAAAGAATATTTGGAAGTTCACTCTGGCGAGAAAATGAAATTCCAAACATGGTCATTTCTGGTACTAAAATCTACCCAAAATTCTTTTTGGGTTTATTTTTTCCCAATTAATTTTAATCATCTATGACCAATTTCAAGAAATTAATTTTTACCATGTTTTAGATACAAATTCTAGATCAATAATTCGTCGCAGATTTTTGCTTTACGCAACCACTGATGGTTTCTTAAAAGGACACTACAGTAACCATACATGCTCCACACAGATACAGGCGCACTCACATTTTCAAATCACCAAACACTCACAAAATGTAAACTAAAACTTCAAAGTATCCCAGATCTCGGGCTCCAGGGAACCAAAAGACACAACTTGTACAAGATGACATTTAGCAACAACAAGCAAAGGTGCCTTCAAACCAGACTACAAAAAGTTAACACTTCTTCTGTATTCTTGAAAGTATTCTGAATGACATTTTAAGGTCATTGTGCGATTATTTCCAACATTGCTCATTAAGAAATGTATGGGCTTGAGCAGCTTGACTCTTGTACAGACATGGCCTTCCATTGGTTTGCAGTGTGTTTCTCGGAATGGAGACCTCACTTAAGTGAGCTACATTGGTGCTGGATTGAGTCGCTTCTAATAATGCAGTTTGTGCTTCTTCTACATTTGCAACAGATTTGGTATTGAACTTCTCAGTTTTTGGAAAATTTGGAGGAGGAGCAGGAGGAACAAACCAGGATTTAAACATCGTATTGCTGCATTTTCATGTAGCATTTGTAGAGAAGGGATTACTACCCCCAGGGCAATTTATGCTCAAAATTAAATTGCAAACAACTTTGCCCAGTGACTAAATGTCTAACAGTTCTGAGACACAACATTCTTCCTCAAAGGGGAGAATGAAGGAGACACATGACAAGTGAGAAATACTTGGAAAATCAGAAAAGGTTTCTTAAATATGTCAGATCATACAAAGTCATTACTCCCCATAATGCTATGTGGTGGACGAATTCAAGCCAGCTCAGACCAACATACAACAATCACGCACAAAGAGAATGGAGAAGGCCTTTAATACAAATATTTGTTGTTATTTTCTGATGTTTATATTGGTATTTATGTTCCTCAAGAGGCTTCTTCTACCCAGTTTCATCTCACCCCATAAATATAAACCTTTTCTTTCTCTTTGATGTATTTAAAATTATCAATTTAATTAGTCCCAAGTATCTATGTAGTAGCAAATTCAACATTCTATCCACACTCAAGATAATGGAGCTTCTCCTGAATTCCCTATTGGATTTCATTATTTGGATGTGTATGTCACTGGCAAAATGAACATTTATTGCACAACCCTAACTGTCCTTGAGAAGGTGGTGGACCTTTTTAGGCTATTTCAAATTTAACCACATTGCCATGAGTCTGGTGTCACATGGTGGCCAGAACAGGTAAAGATGGTGGATTTACTTCCCTAAAGAACAGTAGTGCACCAAATGGATTTTTACAACAATCCAGTAGTTTTATGGTGACTATTAGTGATACTAGCCTTTTATTCCAAAGCTAATTAACTAAGTTTAAATTCCTCAATTACTGTGAAAATGCTTGGTGACTAGTTCTCTTTTATCTTTCTTCAGTTTCCATGAAAACGGCTTTATGGAGGACTTGGACAAGACCTGGGTGAGATATCAGGAGTGTGACTCACGTAGCAATGCTCCAGCCACTCTGACCTTTGAAAACATGGCAGGTAAGTGTGCCACGAGCCACCCAAAATCTGATGGAAAACTTTATATTTTGTTGTTTTGCAGGAACTGTTGGGAGTCGAAGTCCTGAAGGATCCAGCATAAGAACGTAAGGACTAGGAGCAGGTGTAGGCAGTCCAGCCCCTCAACCCTGATCCGCCATGTTATATGATCATGGCTGGTCTTATCTCAGCCTCAACTTCACTCGCCTTCCTATTCTCCATAACCCTTCAACCCGCTATTAATTAAAAATCTGTCTCCTCAAATTTACTCAATGTCCTGGCATTCACCAACTCAGGTAGTGAACTCCAGAGAATTGTGACTGTTTGAGAGAAGTAACTTCTTCTCATCTCTGTTTTAAATCTGCTTACCCCTTAATCCAAAAAGCATCAGCGTGAATTGATTTTCATTCCTCTATTAATCATATTGCCAGCTCAATAATCAATTCTATCTCATCTGTCAATGCTGCCTTATAGGAAACAGATCCAGGCAGATACAGTAGGGTTAGTAAGAACTGCCGTTGCTAAGTCAGAGATAACACAGTGTGAAGCTGGAGGAACACAGCAGGCCAGGCAGCATCAGAGGAGCGGAAAAGCTGATGTTTTGGGTCGGGACCCTTCT